TATTTTAATACCCACATTCTCAAGCAAAAGCAAACACATTAACCACTTCAGATAAGAGAGTTGGTTTTTTTTCGTCTGAAATACCTGAATAGAATCATAGAATAACCTGAGTCAAAAGGGACTCACAAAGATCACTGGCTTCTGGCCCTGCACAGGACAGTCCTAAGAATCTGACCATGTGTCTGACTTATCTAAATGCTTCTTGCATTCTGGTAGCCTTGATGCTATGGTCACTTCCTTGTAATTTGATGGGAAAAAAAATAATACTGAAATACTAATAAAACTCTATTCCCAGGATTTATGAAGAAATAGTAATAAAAACCACAGGAAAACTCAGGTGGGAACAGAAAGTCATTATTTCCAGAGATGGAAATTTTAGAACCTATCAATACAACCTGTTCAATATTTTTGTTGATGACATGGATGAGGGAATTGAATCCTCAATTAGTAAATTTGCAGACAACAGTAAGCTGGGAGCATGTGTTGATCTCTTGGAAGGTAGGAGGGCTTTGCAGAGAAACCTGGAATGGTTGGATGGATGGGCAGAGTCCAACAAGATGAAGTACAGTAAGTCCAAGTGCCAGGTCCTGCATTTTGGCCACAATAACTCCCTGCAACATCATAGGCTGGGGATGGTGTGGCTGGACAGTGCCCAGGCAGAAAGGGACCTGGGGGTACTGGTGACAGCCAGCTGAACATGAGCCAGCAGTGTGCCCTGGTGGCCAAGAAGGCCACTGGCATCCTGGCCTGGATCAGGAATAGTGTGGCCAGCAGGAGCAGGGAGGTCATTCTTCCCCTTGGTACTGGGCACTGGTGAGGCCACACCTGGAGTGCTGTGTCCAGTTCTGGGCCCTCAGTTTGGGAAGGATGTTGAGACTCTTGAGCACGTCCAGAGGAGGCAACAAGGCTGGTGAGGGGCTTGGAACAAAGCCCTGTGAGGAACAGCTGAGGGAGCTGGGGTTGTTTAGCCTGGAGAAAGGGAGACTCAGGGATGACCTTATCAATCTCTACAACTCCCTGAAAGGTGGGTGTAGGCAGGTGGGAGTTGGTCTCCTTCACCAGATAGCAACTGACAGAATGAGAGGACACAGTCCCAAGCTGTGGCAAGGAAAATATAGGTTGGATATAAGGAAAAAGTTTTTTATAGGAAGGGGGATAAAGTATGGGAATGGTCTGCCTGGGGAGGTGGTGGAGTTACCATCCCTGGATGTGTTTAAAAAAAGACTGGATGTGGCACTCAGTGCCATGGTCTAGTTTTTGGTGCTAGGGCATGGGTTGGACTCAATGATCTTGGAGGTCCCTTCCAACCTAGTCATTCTGTTGAATTCTGTGACAATGTTTAACCAATTTTATGGTGAAAAACACTTTACACATAATTAGAATGTTCTGTGTTCCAATTTCTCTGTCACCTATCATTCTACCCCAATGCACTTCTGAGAACACTCTTGTGCTGTCTTCTGTATGTCCTTCCTTTACCTGATTGCAATCAGAAGACTGACCCCTCCTGACCCTTCTCTTGTGGCAGTTAAAACCCCTTGTTTCCTCAGCCTCTTTTCACACCCCAGGTGCTCTCTAGCCTCCTGCCTTCCTGGCAGCCCTGCATAGAACCTGCTCTAGCATGCTGATGTCTTTCTTGTAGGGGGATGCTCAAAACTGGATGAGGCACTCAAGATGTATCCTCAAGAGCTTCAAACAGAAAGGATGAATCACTTGACCTGGTCTGTTGGCTACACTTATACTGCTGCAGCCCAAGGAGCAGCTGGCCTTTGCTGCAAGGACACACTGCTGACTCAGAGAATCACTTAGGTTGGAAAAGACCTCCAAGGTCCTGAAGGTCTTTTTCTGCAAGGTTGTTTTATATTCCTGGCTGTGTTGTAACAAGGGGATACTCCATCCCAGATGCATTTTCAAGTAATTTATGAATTTCAACTTGATAACTTCCATTCAGCTCATTTCACCAGTCTGTGCAGGTCTAGGTTGCAGCAGCCTCACCTCTATGAGGCCACTGGATTTGTCAATCCTTAATATTAAATATCTACAAGGACTACTTTATATCCTTTCCCAATAAGCAGCCTAAATTAGACCTAACACTGACAGCTGTACAGGAGAACTGTAATTGAAATTTTATTTATTTGATCATCACAGCAGTAGCTGTCTACCTATGTCACAAAGTATCCCAGCTATTTCTTCAGTGTTCTTGAAATGAAGGATCTTATGAGTTTATCAATTAGACTTGCTTTATTTTTTTTTTTAGTGAATCTGAAAAAAATTTATCTACATAAGGAAAACATAAGTTTCCTGGTAGTAAAGTGTGAAAAACATAGGCATTTCTAAGTGAGAGAACTCTACTGAGAAAAGCATATACAAAGCAGGTATGTTTTCCATGTTAGTCAGTTTATTAGACTGCATTTTTGCTACTTGTAATATACAGAAATTTCAGTATACTGCTTCAGGCACTCAGGCGCAAATGCCAGTCTGTTCAAGAGACTTTCAATAACAAATGGCACATCACTTCTACCAATTTCAGGAGCAAGTAGAAATTCAGTTGAGAAAAAGTCTATTGGCTGACCAGTTTGCAAACACTGTGTTCAAAGAAGAGTAGGCTAGGCTTGAGCTACACTCTTCAGTTTGAACACTAAGGCTCCTTCAAAAAAAAAAATCTGAAACAACAAAAATACTGAAGAAACTGCTCAAAACAGTGATAAAGAATATGAAACAGAAACTAAAAGTTTTAAGGATTTGCTAACAGTACATTTCTTTTATATGTGCTTAAAGTTATCTTTAACTATGAAGAACTCTAAAAATATGCTAGCATCTAGTTGCTCCCCCCCTCCATACCAAAGAGAGTGACAGACTGATAGATCTGGTCCAGAAGGAATAAGCACTTCAGCTGGAGGAATGGACCAGCATAGAATATGACTCCTTATGGAGTGTATCATGAAATTTTAATATTCAGCAGGCTGAGTAATGAACTGTTCATAGTCTGCCAACAAGGAAACCAAGGAAAGGAAGAGCTCACAAGTTTTATCCTAACTCATGGTCTAAGTCCTTTTTAGCAAAATTCCTGTTGAATACAGTTGCAAATACCCTAAAAAATGACTACAGATCAAGGATATGTAAAAGAATACAATGCTAAAGAAACATTCTCAAATCTGGATGAGCACTGGAAAGCCAGCATAGCAGGCAGAAATGTACTTGACTTCATTTTGTATTTGTGTTAGTTCCAAGCCCCTCCAATGATGATTTAGAATTTTTTGGGAAGAAGATTACTCATTTAGTACATATGGGATAAACAACCAAACATAAACAGTATTAGATCATTATTTCCTCTTTACATCACTTGCCAAGTCTAGGACAGCTATCTAACTGTAAGCTTTTGATGTTATCTTCTGCAAAACAGTATTTCAGGTATTTCTTAAAATGTTTTTAGTTGAAATGCTAGAAACTCCTGGTCACACGTAAAACATTTCAAGGGCAAATTACAGATGTCAAAAATATGCATAAAATCTCTTCCATTATTCTATTCTGTTATTCTTCCGTTATTCACAGACAGATTAGCAGTCCAATTATTGAACTTCTTGAATAACTCATGTCTCAGAACTCATTCTGAGTCATCCGACCTTGATATCTCAAAAGTACAACTTTATAAATAATAAAAAAGTTCACCAAGGAAACATCTCCTGCACAACAAGAAATTTCCCAAACTTCATACCACTGACTGGAATAATCCTAAAATAACAGCATTATTTAAACATACCTCAGTAGTATTACTCAAACGTATTTCAGATAACCTTCTTGAAATGCAGTTATACCATACATAAAATTTAAAGTGCTAGGGAAGCACACTTGACATACCAATATAGGCCATGCTTAAACAATTTTAATTAACATACTTCCTCTAATGTTAACGAGTCTACATGGTGACAAACTTTATATAAAGTAAGAGTTTATCCTAAGGAGTTAATTCTCACCTGACTTATTAGGAATGCTTACATTTAAGTCAACTTCATGTACAGTTTCTGAATTAGCGACAGATTTTTCTGACTTTTGCCATTTTAATTGAACTTGCATTCCATATTTTTGTTACATCTTTGGCATTCTACTAAATAATTATTTCCTACTTACCACGGAAGAATTATTAATTTGATTGAAGTATAGTTTGAATAGCTTAAACTGAGAAAGTGATCAATGCTTTCTGTATTTTTACTACAATTATCACACAAAAGTTGGCACTAAGCTTGGAATGTTATACTTCACATTATCTATTCATATTTCCACTGATAAAAACAGAACACATGTCTTTAGAACTTATTTTTTTTTCTCAATTCTTGAAAATCAAGTACCATCATCTTACATTTATTAGGTTCATTGAGAAAACAAAGAAACACACCTATCAAGAAGCTAAAAAATGCAGTCTTTACTTCCACTAAATTCACCAAGACATCAGTTTCCTTTTGTTACAATTTCTTAAATGAACTTGTCATCCTCCAAACAACGTACCAGAACAATTTCTTGAAATAAACCAATGTTTAAACAAAGAGAGTGATTTATATCTTCTTACTACATTTTGATGACAGGTCAGTAGCTTTACATAATTCATTCTAAAGTTTTTAATACCCTGAATTATGAAATAATGATTAAACAGGTTCACAAAACTTACCAGTACATTTCTGCAACTATGAAACTAAAAATCTTCAGCTCAAAATTACAGCTCTATTGATGGTGGAAACAACTTGCTGATAATCCATTCAAACTCCAGCAAAGCAATGAATTCCAAATGTGACTGCTATTTTGTTACTGGACAAAGAAGATACAAAATTGCAAGAAATTTTCTTTTTAAAAAGCAAGTCATATTGCAAATTTTCAAACTCTACTAAAATCTCACACTCCCTAGAGCATATTTTTTTTTTACAAAAAGATTATCAAACTTGTTCTTGGTGATAACTCATAACAGCAACAAAATTTACTAATTATAAAGACATCAACAATATGTACATTACCTAATGCTGCTCATGCTTCCAGTTTCTGATCCAAGCTTACATCTCTCCAGCTGGCTGGCTACAATCTGACGTTCAGCCTCAAGTTCTCGAGTCAGTCTCTCAAACTGTAGTTCCTGAAAAAAGTAAGTTAAACCGTTTGCTTTGACTTCTCTTGAGATTAAGAAGGAATTTCAGCATAAAAAATGAAATTTGTGCAAGAACTATTAGCATAATACCTTATAACAAAGCTTTCTTTTTTATCCTTTTTTTAACACATTCAAAGTTCACATTTTTGTGGTGACACCTACTTGTTCCTTCATTTATTTTAACAATGTATGTCATAGAACGAAAGAGTTTATCAGGAATGAAATTTCTAAATATATTAAAAAATCTAGCCTACAGAGTTCATGCAGATCTCTCAGTAACATAGAGATCTCAGCAAACTGACCTAAATGTAATCACAAGTAAGTACAATTTGTGTTACTGAAAAAAAGATGCTAAATTCTGTGGATAATCCTGCGGTAACAAAAGTTTCTCAACTTAAAAAGATAACCATCACAGTATACACCAGTGAAATAAACTAAATTGAAGGTGTGTTTATATGGTCTGAGCACAGCTTACTTTCTGCAGTTAATGATATGCAGTAGGGAAATTCAAGTAGTTTTGGCCAAATGCTGTGCTAAAATTCCTACCACTAATTTAATTTATTTTGTTTTATTCTGTCAAGCAAATCAAACCAGTCCTACCAGATAAGATTTTTCCACAAAGCTTATAAAGGTACTTATGAAGTGTTTTTGTTTTTATACAAAAAAGAATATTTTTCTATTTTAAAAAAAAAAAAGTAAACCAAATATAATTCAAATCCCCACCTTCCCCATTTCTTAAAGGGCGACATTTCTCACATATTGTAGCATTAGTTTTATCAAATAAAAGAATTAAATACATTTAGAGAGTTAAGGTTATTGTAAATTTGTCGAATGTTGCTGTCCTTTCATTTTGGCCAGTAACATTGCATTATTTTCACAGATAAACAAAAACATCCCTCCTGCCCCTTTTATTTAGGTTTTTTGAAGGCTCAAGGAGAAATATTTTGCAAATCCATTTCTTAAATAATTCCATTATCCAAACAAATTAATCCATTATCTCTTTCCAAAATGACCTCCCTGTAAAGGAGAGGTATGGGAGGGAGTCCCTTGAATAACTCCCCAGCAAGGTCCTGCCGGGTAGAACAGCACTGGAAATTACTGGAGTCACGATTTATGTCCATCAAGTGACATTGAAGGACTTAGTATTTGAGAGAAAGGAAGAAATGGTAGAAGTCAAGTAGGATTTTTAAGTGTTCGTTCTAAATCCGACCTAAAACCCCTGACAAAGTAATCAAGGGTAAATGAAGGTATTAAACTTTTCAAATCTCTGAAATGAGGCAAATGATAATTGAAACATAAGAATGAACTGGCTGGTGATCATTCTGCTTAATTCAGCTGGATCACTCCTCTCTGTTTCTCCTGCTATTGTCATGGAATAACCTCTGTCCTGCAGTATGAGTAAAGGGAGACTTCTACATAGGTTATATTCAGCATGAAATAGTGAATATTTAAATGGCTACTGACTATGTGACAAGGCAGGTTTAACTGTAAATTTATTATTCCAAACAAAACTATACAGATTTGTTTGACACTGAAAATCAGATTGATGTAAAGACCAAAACATCACAGCTCATTAAATGTCAACAGTGCTATAGAAATCAATAGTTAATAATATTCTCTGCACATTTTTGTAGTGCGCAGAAATATCTTTTTCACTGTTGTTTGAAGATACAATTAACAAAAATCACCTGACAATAATCACCTATTTCATATATGCCTCCTTCACAGAGAGCATTTCTCTCACCTAGAAGAATCAATTGCCTAAAAAGCTGGAGACGGCTTATCAGCTTTCCAAGAGTTATTATTCAAATCCAGGTCTTGTTTGCATAAAATAAAATCCTTAATGCAGAAAGGATTGTAACAGAAATATTACTAAATTGTTGAAGTATGAAAAATCAAAGTGGTACAGTATTTGCCATGCCAGCATGCTTAAATGAAAGCATGCAAGCCTGGAGAAATTTTGATAGTATAAAATACCCAAGAAAATCTAACTGATCATTATGTTTACTTTAAAAATACAAGCAGAACTTTTAACAGCTATTCTGTCCCACTGCATTTTATAAGCCACTTGATTCTATCACAACAATGCAAATTTTGGTGTTTAGCATAGATTTTCACCCAGTCAGTTCAGCTCTCATCATCCCACGTGAGGCAGATCAGATGTGCTCTTTGCCATGGCTTAGCATGGGCATTTGTCTTATCTGCCTAGTAAGAAGGAACAGCTCTCCCCACAATGCTGCTAGGAGAATGTTAAGCACCAAGAATTTGTGAACAAATGCTTCTCACTCTATGTCGTCCACCTGCCTTTTTCTAGACAAAAAAGTGCAGCTCATGGTGTTCTTTAAGTCTAGTAGGGGTGCAAACAACAGTTCTCTAGTCTCTCTTTTTTGTCCATGCTATCCCAAGACAATTAAATACAGAAATGCCCCAGACCTATTTTACTGAAATACTTCAAAAGCAAATATTATTTTGCCATTTTTTTTCTTCAACTGTCTGGATTGTATATCTTCTCATTTCTTTTCTATGCTTTGTATTCCTTCAGCTAATCACTCTGGTTGACAATTTTTCCAGAAACTTCTAGATTTCCTCAACTAATATCCTTTTGCTGTGATTACTTTGTCCCCAGAATGTTTTTTGGCTCATGATTCTAGTCTCCAAAATACACTTTTCTACTCTTCACTTTGTCATTTATTTTTCTTCCCTGCTTACTGCTTTCTGTTCTCTTCTGCCTTCCATCTTTCTTTCATTTCCTAGCACATTTCATGATTCATCCTCCACTAAATTTCTTTCTGTTCCTATTACACTAAGTGGTACTCCAGCAAATGCCCTAAACTGATTGGTTTAAGGAGTTTCTCTCATTCTCTCTCTCTCCCTGGTTCCTTATTGTGTTCTGTTCTTAAGATGTACAAATTGATGTTTTCTCATTTCATTGCCCACATTATTTAAGTCCTGCCCTGCAGAGATGACTAGAAAAGGACAGTTGTACCTACATTACTCATCAAGCAGGAAGCAGAGATGTACCTGATCTGTTGAGAAATAAATAATCTTGGGATTGTAATACATGAAAATGACGAGGAAACGTGAACAGAAAGTTCACTACTAGCTTTTTAATTGCTACTATTTTTTATTTAATTATCTTCTGTCAGGTGCCACCAGAAATTAGAAATGAAAGGAAGGAGACAAAAGGTGGGGAGGTGGGATATGTGCAGGGCCAAACAATTATAACTTGAAGAATTATCTTCCACATTAAATTTAATAAGCAACTGTTTTTGGTATTCCCTCATGCCACGAAAAAGGCGCAGGTCCACAGGGTTGCCTTTGGACTGAAAAAACGAAAGAAGAATTCAAGTAAGACTTGTGAATCTGTTTTCCCTCATACCAAGAAATCCTGGCAGAAAACAAATTAATAAGCTTCCTTCTCTTTGTTTGTGAGAGTGACTAATATTTGAATAAATCCATATGTTTAGACTTCAAGCAGCAGTCACAGTGCTTGACAGAAAGAAGACAGAAACCAGAAATAGCATTTGCTTACATTTTATAAAAATAATCACCAAACCTGACTCCATCATTTGTCTTATTTGTTGTGTTTACAATCATTTTCACCAGTTCATGCCACGCTGTGTTATCTTCACAACTTTCTATTATTTATCTGAATTGAGCTAATAAGAACATCAAAATTAAAAGCAAATTCCTACTCACTGATTATGCAAATCTGTTGTCAAGACAATTGCAGAATGAAGAACAGCAGAATCTACAATGCAACATCAAAATTAATTTACATAATAAGATGTCAAGAGCAGCCTCAAGGACTGTGCTGCAAAGGGCAATAATGCTCAAGCAAGTGCCCATGCAAAGGCACTACAAAGTGCAGTGATCAGTATGGCAGTCCTTAGAACTTGGCACCAGGAGGGGGTGTGGGAGTGCGAAGTCACCAGAGGTCAGAGATAATGATGAGAGTAATTCAGAGAAACCACTCAAGAGAGCAACTTGGAAAGGGAGGAACTTCATGATAACCTTATCAAATTGTTTTGAAGTGATACAAAGTATTTATCTGCTAGGGCCTGAAGTAATTTATGTTTAAAAAATGGCATCTGTTCACAACCATGATGGGGCTTATTTTTTTAAAAAAAAATCATTATTCCATAGATGGCAATTCAATGTACTCTCTTTATCAGCATGAGTTTTGTATTTTCTATATATCTATCCTCTGCAGCCACCAAAGCTTCAAGCACAGTATAAGACTTGAGTCAGGTCATAACATTTCCCAGTGGTCCAGACACTGAACAAGAATGATGGAAATCTTCACAGCCTTTGGACAAGTTAGGAACTCTTGAGCTCAGGACACACCAAAGCAGAGGGTATTTCATTATTTTTTATGCTTTACATCTCCTGGGTCATCTGTATTTGAATGTTGGAAAGGGTAAAATACGGCAAAAGAAATTTGGCTGGTATTTGGAGTTGATCTCATTTTACTTCGCCCTTTACAATCTTAAAATAATCCTTTAACCCTTTCACAAAGGCATGTGTATTGATGCTAAGTAAAAGACATAGCAAAATTGGTAGTGACAGTAAAAAGCAACTACCAAAAAAAAAAAAAACAAAAAACACCACCCTAAAAAAAAATATCTAAATTTAGGCACAAGAGGCTTGCAGAATTACTGGGTTCTTAAGAAACTTTAGGTCATGACATTAAAAAGGAGAAGTGTCTAGCTTTTGATTGCAAATATGCTATACAAACCTAACTGGGGCACTGGTGATCATTTGAATTTTCAAATACAGACAAATAACAGCACTAAAAATCCAGGTTGGGAATGCCTGGTGAGATGAAAACAGGAACCTGATTACAGCTACACAAACAAGTAAGTCATCTCTGGGACTGAAGTCTTTCAAAGGAGTATGTTAGAAACCACAGAACTTCAAAAAGTACACAGGCTGTAGAAGTATACAACATTGGCTTGACCTTTTTGTAACTTGTTAAACAAGAAAAA